AGGGAAGGCAGGGACTGAGGAGGTGGGTGTGTAGAAGCTGCGTGCAAGGAGATCACCCACTGTCTGCACCGCAGACCCACAGGAGGGGGAGTGAGCATGGGTGGAGGGAAGGCAGGGACTGAGGAGGCAGAGGGACAGACCCATGTCCTGGAACAGGGAGGAACAGGAACCCAGTGTGGCACCTCTTTGATGTCATCCCCCAGGAAGAGCCAAGACTGTCCCCAACATTTCCTCTGGGATTTTTTGATATCTGAGGGTTTACAACCCCTGTTCCAGGGATAACAAACATTTGCATTAACAACACAACCCTTAACCTACACATCTTGCCCAGCCGCCAATATTCACAGCAAATAAAGGTGCAGGTGCTGGGCCGGAGCTGGTCTTTCAGCCTCTCCCCACAGAATGGCAGCTCTCCAGTGCTGGTAAAGCCATTGGTCAATCAAACCCTGCAGCTGAGTCTGCCAAGACCAGCCTCAGAAAGGGGAAGTGACTTTCCCAGAGCCACCAGTTGTTGGCAGAGCCAGGTCTACAACCATCATGACATTCCCCTTCAGTTCTCAAAGTCTTTCAGCGCCCATCCCTCTTTCAGTCTGACTCGTCTCTGAGGGCATCCAAGGCCATGTCTCTGTGCCTCGGGGTCTCTAGAGGCTTGAGAGTGGGGAGTGAAGGCTCTGGCTGGCTGTCCAAGCTGTCCCTGCCACCCACCTTAGGCCCTAGGCGTGCCCTAGGGGGCTCAGCTGACAGCACAATCTCACCCTCACAGGAAAACTGAAACCACAGCCTCCAGCATGGCAAGAAGTGGGGCCTCAGTCAGGGTAGGGGAGTCCCTGAGACCTCACTGGGCAAAAGCTATGGGTAGGGACACAGCAGGGTGGGAGAAGGGGACAGGAAGCAGAGATGAGCAAGGCCAGCCATGGGAAGTGGAGGCGGCGCAGGGGACAGGCAGGGCCTGGGCCCGCTCCCGCCCAGCCTCAGGGACCTGTGTGGGGCATTTTCCCCAGAAGCAGGGGAGGGTGGGACCTGCCTGAGGGTCTGGACTTGCTGTTGTAACCCATCGCCCTTTACTCCCACATTCGGTAAGAGGTGTGTGTGGGGGGGTATTTTCCATCCAAATACCATTTACCTTGGCTTATGTCCCCAACCAAACTCTGATCCAGTCTGCCTCCCTGGCCAGCCCCAGCTCACCAGTTCCAAGCTCCAGCAGCCCCAGAGGTCTGTCCAACCCCCACCCCACCTCCTAGGACCCCTCTAACCACCCTGGCAAGGCAAAAAGGGGTGTGGAGGTGCGGACAGAAAGAGCCGGAGCCCCCACACAGACCTGGCGACAGGCTGCAGAAGCGAAGAGCCCTCTGGGCCCCCCCTGAGGGCTTTGGGAGCCCGGCCCCCTCCGATGTCCCCGGAATTGCCCCAGAATCGCCCACCGACTTACCCTGAAAGCGGAGGCAGGGCGTGGTGCAGGCGGCTGCGGGGCGCAGGGATCCGCTAGCCTCCCCGCTGCGGGAGGAAGTGAAGCCGGGAGGGGCCGCGGGCGCTGACAGCCTGAGGAGCCCTGGAACCTTCCTACCCCGCTCGAGCTCGGGGTTGTGATCTCTGGTGCTGCCTTCCTCAGCCCACCCCGCTGGCGGGCATGGGGGAAGATGGGGAGCTAATGCCCCCGGGTCAGGAGAGGCTGGCCACCAGAGACTGACCATCTGGACCACTAGCCACACCCTGCTCTGGGGAGACACGCCCCACCCTCAGACATCTCACCCCAGCCCCGGACATCTCACCCCACCCCCACTCCACCCGTTTAGCCGCTGAGGCCCCACGTGGGGGCGGGGCAATCAGAGCAGCCCTTGGTCCCTTGGTGCTGGGGCCCGGCCTTTGGCAGGTGCTGTCATGGGTGGGGGATTCTAGTCCCACAATACTGACATCTATCACCTCACCTCTTCTTTCCCCCGCCTCCCCACCCCCACCCCGTCCCCTGCCCTCCAGAGTCTTTCAGCAGCCATGTGGCTCATTTCTGGGTCCTGGTTGACCCGTCATGGGGCAAGAGCTGTGTGGACGGGCACCAGGGAGAGGAGAGGTTCAGCCCAGCAGATGCCCTTGGGAAAGCAACCTCATCCACCTACCTCACAGTTTGAAGGGACTTTCCCACCTCCCAGGACCTTCCCCCAGCCTCCTTACCCCAGGGGCCCCGAGTTCTCCTAGTTAGATGTGCTTCCAGCACCAGTCAGTAGGGGGTGAATTAGACCTCATCTCTTCTCTGCTCTGGTCTCAACTTTGAGGTTGGGAGACTAGCTACCATCCAAGTAGCTCCAGTGTTCCCTCTCCCCCGTTCCCAGTCCCTACCCTCAGCTCTACCTCCAAGTTTGTCTTTCTGCCTGGTCTTAGCCAAAATCAACTCTCCCCTTGGCAGCTGCAGCCCCCTCTAACCTATGTGCATAACCCCCACCCTCATAACTCATTCTCCCAGGGCAACTGAAGCAGTCTGGCATGAAAACCAGGATGCCTCACTCCTTGACTTAAGTGTCCCCCACCCCCATCTCCATGGCCTCTCATGGTAGTTGGAATAAAGGCAAACTCTGTCCCTTAGCCTGCATGGTCCCCCGACTGTCTCCCTGTTCAGTCATCATCCCTCCTTGCAACCCTGTTGTGCATGTTATACTCTAGACCTCTGCCGTCCAGTGTGACAGTCACTGGCCACTGTGGCTGTTTACATTTAACATTCACTTCTGCTGTCTCATTAGCCACACTTCAAATACTCTAAATAGTCACATGTGTTGGCTCAGCACCTGTTGCTCAGTGGCTAGGGCACCAGCCACTTGCACAGGAGCTGGTGGGTTCGAACCTGGCCTGGGTCTGCCAAACAACAATGACAACTGCAGCAAAAAAATAGTCAGGCATTGTGGTGAGTGCTTGTAGTTCCAGCTACTTGGGAGGCTGAGTTCGAGACCACCTGAGCAAAAAGCAAGACTCTGTCTCTACTAAAAATAGAAAAACTGAGACAAGAGGATGGCTTGAGCCCAAGAATTGGAGGTTGCTGTGAGCTATGACGCCATAGCACTCTACCCAGGGTGACTGCTTGAGACTATCTTAAATAAATAAATAAAAATAAATAAAAATAAATAAAATAAATAAAATAAAAAATAAATAAATAAAAATAAAAAATGAAATACATGGAAACATATATCCACACAAACACTTATACATAAATGTTTACAGCAACATCATTCATAATAACCAGGTGGAAACAACCCAAATGACTGTAGACTGATAAATGGATAAGATAAAATAGCATAGATAGTATAAAATGTGAATACTGTGTAGCCATGCAATAAAATACAGGGTAGCCATAAAGTTCATGTGCAATTCCATGAACTTTATGGCCATCCGGTATTATTCAGCCACTAAAAAAGAAATGAAGTATTGATACATGTTACAATAGGGAAGAAAGCAGAAAATTTAGGCTAAATAAAGGAAGCCAGTCACAAAAGATTACATATTGCCTGATTCCATTTATTTAATTTTATTTATTAAGTGTTATGATAGAGGACATATCAGATAGAAAACTGGTAAGAACAGATACACTTGATTTAAGCCAAAAAGTCAAGAATTGATCTGAAGGATTCCATTTATATGAAACATCCAAAATAGGGAAATCTCTGGATACAGAAAGTAGATTAGTGTTTGCCATGGGCAAGGAGATTTGAAGGGAAATGAGGAATGACTACTAAACGTCTTCTTTAGCAGTGATAAAATATCCTAGCCAGGCAGAGTGGCTCACACCTGTAATCCCAGCAGTCTGGGAGGCCACAGTGGGCGAATTGCTTGAGCTCACAAGTTCAAGACCAGCCTGAGCAAAAGCAAGCCCCTGTCTCTACTAAAAATAGAAAAACTGAGGCAATATGATCACTTGAGCCTGAGTTGGAGGTTGCTGTGAGCTAGGACGCCACAGCACTCTACCCAGGGCAACAACTTGAAACTCTGTCTAGGCTCAGCGCCTGTGG